CTCACCAAGGGCCCTCCCTTTTCCCTTCGAGCGCTCATCCGACAGTGTCAACTTACCCATCGCAGCCACATCATCCCCCGTTGGGATCCGGACCTCCGCATCCGCCAACTGGAACAGGGCCGCACTGTCTGCTCCCCGGCCAGAGCTCACACCTCCAGCCCCAAGCACCAACCAGTATTGCCACCCCTACCGCCTCCGGGTTCTGTCCTCATCCTGGCTCGGTCTCCCTTCCGCATGGCGTACAAGGACCTCAGCAGGCATCTCCATTGCCCGGGCAGATCCCTATCCACAGAGCCCAGGTGCCACCGACGTTTCAAAACAACTATCATGGTTCAGGGTGGCATTAAAAACCGGAACCCCCCCCTTCCTCCTCCTCAACTCCCCCCTCCTTCCTCGCTTCTAAACATTTTAAAAATGTTCTGTAAAAATCTGTATATTTCATATGTACCTGTTCAAGGTACTTTTTAAAGCTTGTACATTATACTTTGTATAAAAGCGAACACCAGTGCGCGCGTGCTTTTCATCGTATTCTTTCCAGTTTTTGCTTTTTTTTAAAGAAAAAATCCCTAAATCTTTGCGGCGAAAGCCAGTGGGTTTTTTTTTAGGCATTTTTTTTTTAATTATTATTTTGTACATGAACATTCCAGCTCTGTTTGTTCTGGCAGTAAGATTTGTTGCTGCATAACTTTTAAATTTTTATCGTTGCAGTTAAAAACTTCATTTAGTGAATGTTTTCTATATTTACTTTTTATACATATGTAATTAAAAAAGTACACAGCTAAGTGGACGGCACTAACAGATTTCTTTCTCTCTTTTTTTCTTCATCTGTCAACAGTTTTTGTGTGCATATAGTAGAAGGCGCAATACAGATATTTTTTATAGTTTGGTGTGAACATGGCTCCTTTCTTTTCAAGACTTCTTTTCAGACATTGTAATTTAATGTATAGATTGTTTCTAATGTCTCTGACAAGTGCTGTAAATACTGTTCCTTTTGCGTGTAAAACTGCTTAATGCTTCTCATTTGATATAGTATTGTACATATGAGTCTTTTGCAAAAGCGTGTGATCTTTGTGAAAGTAGTACAGTATATGAACTTTTAATTTTTTTTAATATACTGTCACATTGCAGCACTGGTTGGGCATTTTAATTCATGTTAATAAATCACAATTATGTCAGTTTTAAACCCTCTTGTTTTGCGAATTTGCTGTTTTCAGAAAGTGTACGTTTGAAAGGGTGTTGTGGGTACCTCAGCGGACTTGGGTCAAAGGAGGCTTCTATTCGCTGAGAGCAAGAAATGCAAACATAGAGCCAGTTAAATCCAAAGGACTCTGAAGAAATTTAACAACTGGCACCCATTTTTTTCCTGAGCATTAGAACAATTAATCAGTGGAACAACTTGCCACCAGAAGTAGTGGATGCTCCAACACTGGAAGTATTTAAGAAGAGATTGGACAACCAATTGTCTGAAATGGTACAGGGTTTCCTACCTAGGCAGGGGTTGGACTGGAAGACCTCCAAGGTCCCTTCCAACTCTTGTTGTTCTACTCTACTCTACCCAACATAATAGTGCTGTCTTGAGGAAACTGCTACTCCTGCTAGCAGCAGAAACTACTACAGCTAGTAGTGTGCTATTTATCAAATGGCATTCTTCAATGTGAAACACTACAGGTAGTCCTTGACTTACAACAGTTCATTTAGGAACCGTTCAAAGTTACTACGCCATTGAAAGGCGGCTTCCCACTGTTTTTCAGTTACGACCATTGGCTTCCCTGTGATCATGCGATCAAAATTGGCAACGGGTTCATATATATATGACCATTGCTGTGTCCAGGGGTCATGTGAGCCTCCTTTGCAACCTCCTGAAAAGCAAAGTCAAGGGGGAAGATAGATTTACTTAATCAGGTTACTAACTTATCAAGTGCAGCAATTCACTTAACAACCGGGGCAAGGAAGGTTGTAAAATGGGGCAAAACTCAAGTTAATAAATGTCTCACTTCGCAACAGAAATGTTGGGCTCCATTACCTGTCCTCTTTGACACTTCATATCACAAGCACCTTTTGGACTACACAACCCAAATCCATTCACATTCAGGATGCCCGAGACAGGAATAGCTAGGCAAATCATAATAATGTTATATATTCTACCTCCAGACTACCAGTCTTGACTGTGTTGTTGGTATAGGTAGTCTTCAACTTACAACAGTTCATTTAGTGGCCGAAGTTACAACATCACTGAAAAAAGGGACCTTTTTTTTTACACTTAATGACCGTTGCAGCATCCCCCTGGTCATGTGATCAAAATTCAGAAGCTTAGCAACTGACTCAGTGGTTGCAGTGTCTGGAGTCATACAATCCCCTACTGTGACCTGACAAGCAAAGTCAATGGGGAAAACAGATTCATGGTGTGCCTAACTCAAGAGGTAAGCAACCCGTAGCTCTGGAGCCCCATGTGGCTCTTTCATCCCTCTGCTGTGGCTCCCTGTCTCAAAATATGCATCACAACCACCAATGTGCAACACTTGATGGCACGTGATTTATTGAGCTTTTTGATCCATGGTAGGCTAACCATGGATAAATCCAAGGAGAGAAAAGTTTCAGAAGAAAACAGAACATTTAACTCAACTATATATGCTAGTTTGTGGCCGCTCAGGAAATAGTCGGGTACGGGAAAGATTTTGTGGCTCCCAGTGTTTTCTTTTCTGTGGGAAACAGGTCCAAATGGCTGAGTATTTAAGGTTGCTGACCCCTTGGCCTAATTTAACAACTGCAGCAATTCACTTAACTGGTAGCAGTCATAAAATAGAAAAACGTTAACAAATGTCTCGCTTAGAAACAAAACGTTGGGTTCCATTGTGGCCATAAGTCAAGGACTACCTGTACTGATAAAACCTGGTAACAGAAAAAAACTACCTATATTGTATTGGGGCAACATAAAGTCACTACAATTTCGGTTTCCGTGAATTATAGTCCATCCTTGCCAGTGTATGCTACAATTAGTATAATATTATAAGCTGAAATGAGAAGTAGCTGGTTCCTTCCTACTACCTACATGAAGCAGAATTTCTTCTTACCTGCTTCCTGGATTAGGTAAAGGTTCCCCTCGCATGTACGTGCTAGTTGTTTCCGGCTCTAGGGGGCGGTGCTCATCTCCGTTACAAAGCCGAAGAGCCAGCGCTGTCCAAAGACGTCTCTGTGGTCATGTGGCCAGCAGACGTAAACGCCAAAGAAGGCGCATGGAACACTGTGACCTTCCCACCAAAGGGGTCCTTATTTTTCTACTTGCATTTTTAACGTGCTTTCAAACTGCTAGGTTGGCAGAAGCTGGGACAAGTAATGGAAGCTCACTCCATTACACGGTGCTCGGGATTTGAACCAACAAACTGCTGACCTTTCTGATCGATGAGCCCAACGTCTCAGCCACTGAACCACCGCGTCCCTCCATTAGATGGACACAATAAAGCCCTTCTCAATTTACCAGTCTAGCCAGGTGAGATTCCTTTCTTTAAAGTTACTCCAGGGGGCGCCACGTACACACCCACGGATTGCAGGGTTTCCGCAGAGAGAGGAAAGCAGCCCAATAAAGCAAGCTGCCACTGGGGAAGACTCGGGGTCCAAAAATAAAATAAAATTGCTGGGTCATTGTCACCAAATTCCAATGGAGATCCAGCAACGACTTCACTTTGTGTATCCCATGGAAATGAACACGGTCTCAAGCCAGATGTAAAATCACCTCCTTTTTATATAGTACATAAATAGAATACAGTTTGCAAATAATCATCGGGGACAAGCCACTCAAACCAAAGCAACTCTTCCATAATCCTTGTTTTGCACCCCCACCCCCACCCCACATTACCCCTACTACCCACCCAACCCCGGGGAAGAATTTCAGTGAAGGGCAAGGACAACAACCATCCAGGAGCGCTGTTCCCTCCCTTGAATGGAAGATTTGCATATTGCTGTAAGCCAATCGGGGCAAAGCATGATAAGAGGCCTTTCTCCAGTTGATTAGGTTCTTTGCAAGGCTGTTAAACCAATGAGACACTGAGGTCCTTGGCACTCTCTGAGCTGGGTGGGTTTTCTGGCAGACGTCTCCCGACCCAACTAGGTAACGTCATCAGTGCCAAGTTTCCTAGTTTGGGGCCCTCAAACATCTGTGAGAAAACCACGCAGGGCGGAGAACACCGAGGACCCTTAATTTCAACCCTGAACTACAAATATTCTCGTCGATCAAATGCAAGACGCTGCATCCTTCAGAAAGGGATTGGCAATAAAGCAAATTTATGATGAATGGATTTCTTTCTTTCTTTTGGAAACGTGGTTTGTCCTTTTATGGGCTCTGCCTGGTTCCATCCAAAATCTGTATCTACGACTGCTCTCTTGGAAAAGCTACAGTTGTGTAGAAGCTTCCTAGCAACTAGCACCACATTTGCTGCAAAAGGATTTAACTTGCCTTCTGGAATATATATATATATAGCAAGGCTGAGAAGTCTTATTTCGCCTCGCTCTGCTTTTGAGGTTGGTTGGTTGGTTGGTTTGAATAAACATTTGAAAAACAAAAAAAGGCAAACGCCTCTGAATCCCTGGCCGGTTTGATTTTTCTAACAAACACCGAACGAGTAAAAATGCCGTTTTGCATTTGTCCCCTTTCCCAAAAACAATCCAGAGGGAGCAGGACAATTTCTGAAAAAAGAAAAACAACCACTTTAATTAAGACAACTGCAAGCACCTCAAACAATTAATTATTGTTACAATATGGGGTGGGAGAGAGAGAATCGTCTCACAATCTAAGTATTGGAAAAGGCATGTGAATAACTTTTTAAAATGGACAAAAGTGGCACCGTAATTAATGTGTAAAACCAGAAATAAATTTACATTCATTCCCACCGACTTTTTTTTTTTAAAAGAGGCTAAAAGACACCTCTGTATTTTACATTCTAAAATCTGTATTGCCTAGAAGATCTCTTTTTGGAATCTACTTTTCTTCTTTTTTTTCTTTTTTCTTTTTCTTCTTTTAATACAAAAAAACACCTAACCTTTTTGTGTGCAACTTACAAAAGGAAGATTACTTCCTCAATATGTCGATTATGGGGGAGGAAAAAAAAATAAGCTAGTGCAATTTGTTTCTGAAACAGGTAAAGCTATGAATGGAAGGTGCATGATCTTTTCATTTTTTCATGTAAGGTTTGTATCGTTTCTGCTTCTTTCTTTCTTTTTCCTCCTTTAAAAGGACTGCCTTTTTTTTTTTAATCATCCACAGTTCTGCACAAAAAATGCTTCCAAGATTTTCTTTAAATTCTTCAGCCTTACAGGAAAAAAAAGCAGTTTGCTCTTGCTATGCCATCACCTCACAACTGGAAAGCAAATGACATCTTATTAAAGTCACTCAAATATATATATATATATATATATATACACACACATATATATATTTTTCGTACACTTCAGACTTCCTTTAAAGTGCCTCTTGGAGAGAGTGAGAAATTTTAGAAATCAAGAGTCACTTTTCTTTCGAAATCCAATTATCAGCTACCGAAAAGGGACGTTTACGTAACTCCCTAAAGCAAAACCCACCACATGCAATTGGTATACTAAAGTCACTTTCAATTGAATAGCTTTAACTCTGCAACTTGTGCCGCATCCCCGTTTTTGTTTCTTTGTTTTAGTTTTAAATGGAAATAAACATTTACAGGGTGCATTTACATAACGCTATTTTACAAAGAACAAGGTCCCTTTTGCTTGAAGATAAGAATTGTACATTTTCCGAATTCGGACTCAATAAACGTCTCACACTTGTAAATTATATAATATTCAGCTAAAATAGTTTCCATAAATAGTTACAAACCTGCCTGAAACACAGTAAAGGGAAGAGAATGGAGGAGATGTGCTTCCAAAAAGGTCAATGTTTGGATTCCACACAACACAAGAAACAATGCTTTAAAAGACACAGAGTAAGTTTGGGGGGGGGGGGTATGTTTGGAGACAGTCAGTAGAACTACTAGTTGAAGACAAAAACGACACTCCTTCCTCCTTTCTCCTCCTCCCCAGAACACAGTGCACGAAAAAGCAAAAAAAAAAAAAAGTCAGAACAGTACCTCCAAAGTAAAAAATAAAGGACTGGGATTGAAGCCATCCTGTTAAAAGAGCATTTTATGACAAGTCACCGTGGTTTTTTTTTAGGTTTGATGCGTGGAGAAAGGGAGGGCTGGCCCGATGGGGTTTTGATCCAAGGCTCCTGCTACGAATTCAGCCAAGGGTGCCGAAGGCATTCACCAGCGGAGGCTCGTTTTTCCGGAACCATTTCTAACATGGGGATCAGGAAATCGGTAAACTCCGCCGCGTCTTCCTGAGGCCAGCCGTATTTCTCCACGAGAACATCAAAGAGGCTCCAGGGTTTCAGCTTGGTGATGTGCCGGAGTTCTCCTGCATTCATGGGAAAGGTGGAAGAGAGAAAAGGGTTAGTTTCTGCGTGCGTCGAGATGTGATCGGAATCTCTTTTTTGAGTTTTGGGAAGGCAGCCGTACCCTGTTTCCCCAAAAATATGACCTACCCTAGCTTGATTTTTTACATGTGCGCCCAATATAAGCCCTATCCCGAATATAAGCTCTAATTAAGATCCTGCCCACTCCAGAGTGGACGGGTAAAAATTAAGCTAGGGTAGGGATGAAGGGTGGAGCTGCCCTACTACTTACCTTTGGACAGTTGTAGCCAGGCCTTGCACACCCAGACACCTGCCTTGCCAGCCCATTTCTTCTGCAGCCGGCAAAGCTGGCAAGGCTTTCCTGAAGGCCTCTGTAGCTGAGAACAAAGTTCAGGATCGATCCAGAGCTCTGTTATTGACTGCAGAGGCCTTCAGGAAAGGCTTGCCAGCCACAGAAGTAGTAGTTCCTGAAGGCCTCTGTCAGCGAAAAGGAGGCCGGGGGTGATGGGCACAAGTGAGGTTAGTCAGTGGACAACATCCCCCGAAAATAAGACCTGGTGCCTTTTTGGTGGCAAAAAAATAAGACAGGGTCTTATTTTCAGGGAAACACAGTATTAACTTATTATATATTATATAAAGTTATATTAACAATCAGTGGATCAGCTTGCCTCCAGAAAGTGCTCCAACACTGGAGGTTTTTAAGAAGACACTGCACAGCCATTTGTCCAGAATGATATAGGATTTCCTTCCTGAGTAATAGGTTGGACTAGAAGACCTTCCAACTCTATTGTTCTGTTATTCTGTAAAGTCAATGTAAAGCAAACCACAAGGGGGCGCTGCAGAGCTAGGAAGTTATTTTCAATGAAGTCCACCCCCCCTTCCAAATCTTTGGGCCTACTGATTTTACAATGTATTCAAGAGGCAAGGCCAATATTTATTATTTCAGAATTCTAGTGTTAGCAACATGCTCTCTCTTTTTTAAAAATCTGCTTTTTCCAACAGAAAAAGGGGTTCCCAACCAGGGATGTGAGATGATATTCGGGGAGGGAGCAAAAACTTGGGTTTAGAAGTTTCAAAATTATAGTGTATATGCATAATTATATGCATAATCTACTTTTGTAAGGGGTGCGAGAATATATCAGAAGCATTCTAGGGGTGCAGGGTATAGAAAAGGTTGGGAACCCCTGAAATAGAGGGAAAAAATTTCAAAGAGAGGAAAGTGTGTTGATTATTGAACAGGGATTTAGTTCATTCCCAAAATAACATCATCAAAGAGTTCCTTTGGGTCATTTTGATATGTATTCTTTGCAGGGTTACATCACTGCACAAACTCCCAAATTAATCATTTATCTAATGCGCGTTACACTCCTGCTACAAATACATATACAAATTGCATCCAACAGATGCCTTCAGGGATGCAATAAACACTTGTGCTTGTTGGTTGGTTTGTTTATACCCTGCTAAATTAAAACGATCCTTGGCGGGTTACCAAATAGAAAAAAGTAAAAACATTCTTGGTAACAGTGGAAGTGTAACAGATCGCAATCCATAAAACCAACAATCACTGTCATGCCCCTGTCAGAGTCTGAATCTGAGGAGGAAGAGGAACAGCTGACAGGAAGTGGGAGTGTAGCTCCAGTTGGCTGTGGAGGAAACTGGGGAAGGGCAAAGTCTGGCTGGGCAGAGCAGGAGAGAGATAGAACAAGGGAGAAGGAGTTCAGAGGAAGACCCAGCCCCCCCCCTCTTCATCCTAGGGCACGCAGGGAAGAACGGAGAGCAACATGGGTTGCGTGGTTTACGAGGGAGGAAAGGGCCCTGATTCCCTTCATTAGCCACACCTGGAAGAAAGTAGATATGAAAGGCAGGCTGCGTGCGGCAGGCTGTTGGGAGCAAACATGACTTTATCCTGTGTTATCGTGGCTTATCTGTGTTCCTGGCGTCTTCCCAACCGTGTGAGTTTTGCTGTGCCTTCAAACATGAAATTCTTGCTCCTGCCCTGCCAAACTAATTACTTCAGTTTGGCTTGTTTGGACTTTAAGTTACAGTTTGTGTTGCTCATGTTTTGGACTGGATTTTCTGCAGTCAAAGGCTGTTCCTGGAAGAGTTTTTCTCCAGCCAGAAGGTAACCAGGACATTGAAGGGGCAAAGTTGGAGCTACTAAAGAGACTCTTACTGAGTATCTGACTGTGTTGCCTTTGTGCCACACCTGGGGTCATCACCCAGAAGGATTGAAAAAGTATAAAAGCAATCTAAGTGAAGGCAAAAGACTACATGTTTAAAAAAGGGGGGGGGGCTCTGATGCAATTACAGGAAGTCCTCAAGTTACTACCACAATGGACCCCCAAATTGATGTTGCTAAGTGAAACATTTGTTCTGTGAGTTCTGCCCCATTTTGCCACTTTTCTTGCCACAGTTGTTAAGTGAATCACTGCAGTTGTTAAGTTAGGATCCTGGTTAAACCTCTGTAGAGATTGTCAATCATCCAGGTCATGGTTGTCCCGGAGCTGCTTTTTTCAGAAGGCAATTGGACTTTGTTTTTTCTTTTGAAGACATTTCGCTTCTCATCCAAGAAGCTTCTTCAGCTCTGGCTGGATGGTGGGGGAATGGAAGGATTTATACTCCTTGCAGACAGCTGGTCATTTGCATTCTTTTAAGAGAGTCGTTGAGGCCACTTGGGTTTATCTGTGTACTCAGGGCCACCTGAGTGGTGCAAATAGTTCCTGTAGTCCTGTAGTTAGTAACTCAGTTGTGTTTAGTGAACTTGGCTTCCTCGTTGACTTTTTGCTTGTCATCAGGTCACAAAAGGGGACCACGTGACCTTGGGACGATGCAACCATCATAAATGTGAGTCAGTTGCCAAGCGCCTGGATTTCGATCACAAAGACCACGGGGAGACTGCAAAGGTGGCAATGGTGAAAAGGGGGTCCCAAGTTGCTTTTGCTCAGGGCCGTTGGAACTTTGAATGGTCACTAAATGAACTGCTGTACGTCGAGGACTTCCTGTACGCCATCAACCAATTCCAAAAATATCAATCAACAAGGCGAAGACAAATAATAATAAAAAAATAAGGCTTTCTGGACCGTCTAAAAATGAGGAATTTTCAACAGGTTTGGCCCTCGGTGTTCTAACGCAGGGGTCCCCAAACTTGGCAACTTTAAGACTTGTGGACTTCAACTCCCAGAATTCTTCAGCCAGCTATGCATAGCTGACTGGAGAATTCTGGGAGTTGAAGTCCACAAGTCTTAAAGTTGCCAAGTTTGGAGACCTCTGTTCTAATGGGTTGGTCCAAATGCTGGTTGGAGAAGGCGGATCCACGGATATCTGCAGGCTGAGCCTAGTCTTAGTGGATCTCAGTGCAACAGACGTGGCAGTGGAACAGATCTGCTTTCCAGTGCTCAAATGAGGTTTCCTTGAACTTGGGCTGAGTTTTAAATGGCTTCCCTCCAGAGGTTGCAGATGCTCCATCACTGGAGCTTTTCAAGAAGAGATTGGGCAGTCCTTTGTCTGGAACAGTATAGGCCAGGTGTCAATCTCGATTCAGGGTTGTATTGGACCTCGGAGGGGGGGGCATGGCAGGGATGGGAGTGGTCCAGGCTCCATTTTTGGCCACGACGGCCTCCTAAAGCCCTCTGCCAGCAAAAATGGATTTTTTTTGGGGGAGGGTGCGGTCCCCCGGCCTCTGTTTTGGCCACGACGGGCTCTTGCAACCCTCTGCCAGCAAAAACGGAGCTCGGCACACAGCCCTCCCAAGCTTCATTTTCGCTGGGGGAGGACCCGCAGGCCGGGCCTTCATTGTTTATGGGGCGGCCCCGCAGGCCTGAACCAAGCACCCCGGGGCTGAATCTGGCTCGTGGGCCTTGAGTTTGACATCTCTGGTATAGGCTCTCTTGCTTGAGCAGTGTTGTGGTTCGCCGGCAGCCTCTGCAGACAGCAGTGGAATCGGACAATGGGAAAGGACCGGGACCAGTCCGGCAGTCTAGAGAGGACTCGGATGAGGGTCCTGTGTCCGATGCAGAGATGGGGCCAGGACCATCTGGGAGTGGGGTGCTGCCTCCGGAGTCTGGCAGCAGCAAGGCAGCGGACCCAAGGGAGCTTGTTCTCAGTGCGTGTATGCACAGAGCTGCTAGAAGGCAAGAGCAGCTAAGACAAAAGGGGCGACTCGGGAGTAAGGCTTGGAGGTGATTGCCCCTCCCCTAAGGTATAAAGGAAGTACAAAGGTAGGAAAACCTTTGCAGGAATCAAAGTCATTCGCTCAGTTCGGATTAAACCATGAAGCTCTGTGTACTTTGGTTTTTTCTTGTACTTCGGTTGGTTTCTTCTATAATTAATTGGATACTTCTGTTTTTGGCAGCATTACACCGAACTGAAAGGTGTGTGGCTTATCTTGGGGAACTGTTTAAGATTACTCTGTTTGGCTTTTTACAGTTCATTTGGCACTTTAGCTGTTGGCAGCAATTCAAAGGAGAGAAAGGTGGGTGCTTATCTCCAGGGACTGTTTGAGACTCATTATGGGCTGGGAATGAACATAATTCCCAGAGTTGAAATAAAACGAGAGTTGTTTTAATTAAACATGTGCTTAATTATGGGCTTGGGAAGCCTTGGTCAGAACAAGCTGGGGGTTAGACTAGAGGACCTCCAAGGTCCCTTCCAATTCTGTTATCCTGTTAAGCCTCTCATTCCATGATTTGGTTCAGAAGAGAAACAGATCTGCTTATCCCATGCCAAATTTCAACCCCATGGGAGCCCTTTCCCAAAGCGAACCGCAGACAGGAGCATTGGCTAAACCCAACCCAAGTTAAAGGATGAACATTATTGGGTGCAACCATCATAGGTGGGAAGTAAAAAAGAGCAAGGAGAGAAAGTAAGACCTGGGGGGCGGGGAGAGAAGGAAAATAATGCAAATTTCGAAGAGAGTGATTGAATTATCCCCATCTCAAAGCTTAACGCCAAGAGTCTCTTGGGCAAAAATGAACAGTCCAGCCGTAACTCATTTGGGCCACTGTCTGCTGAACTGACCGAGAGCACGGAAACATTTTTTTAAGCACAGGCAGTCCTCAACGTACAACCAAATTCCCATCGCTAAGAGAGAGACAGCTGTTAAGGTGAGGTTTTGCCCCATTTTACGACCTTTCTTGCCACCAACGTTAAGTGAATCACTGCGGTTGTTGAGTTAGTAACATGGTTGTTCAGTGAATCTGGCTTTCCCATGAACTTGGCTTGTCGGAAGGTTGCAAAAGGGGAACCACGTGGCCCACAGGGACACCGCGACCATCATAAATATGATCACATGAGCAAAATTCAGATGCTTGGCTAACTGGGTTCATATTTATGACGGTTGCAATGCGCGACGATCACTTATTGGCCTTTTGCAACCTTCTGACAAGCAAAGTCAATGGGGAAATTGGATTCACTTAATCAACGGTGTGACTAAATTTAACAACTGCAGTGATTCCCTTAACAACGGTGGCAAGAAAAGGCATAAAATCAGGCCCTCACGTAAACAAAAGGTCCCACTTAACTTGGTAGTAATTTGAGGCTCAGCTGTGGTCGTACATCAAGGACTACGTGTAAAACAAAGTTCATTCTGCACAGGTTCTTTAACATGTATTTTTAAAAAATTTTAATAAATGCTCCGTCGTTCATAAGGATGAGTCATTTTCTGGGGAGGGGTGGTGGTGGAAAGAGCTAGTGTTGATATTACGGGGTTCAGAAACACCATTACCTTTTTTGGTGAAAAACTCCTTGGAATATTTTCCCAACACTGCGTATTTTCGAGGGATTTTTCCCAGCAGTTCAATGATCAATGCTATGTGATCTGCATTGGAGCATATTTCCAGCAAAACAGAGAAACATACAACAGTTTAATCAATACACGGCATGCACACAAGGAGAATGGCCCGGTACAGACAGAAACAGACCGGCCGTCTGAAAACACGGAGACGCGAATGTTGCTTGCAGCGTGAATTTAGGGGGGGGGTGGGGGAGTTCAAATCAGAGGGCCAGGCTGCCTTGTGGGACAGCGAAGCACCCAATCCTTCGTAGCTTTTAAGTCCTAAATATATAGATAAGACAAGAGACAGAAAGATAGATTAGATATAGATAGGTATAAACAGATAGATAAAATATCTAGATTAGAGATAGATAAATAGAGATAGAGATAAATATAGATTAGATAGATAGGTATAGATAAATTAGATATAGATACCGAAATATAAATTAGATAGATATAGAGACAGATATAGATAAATTAGAGAGATGATAGATGATAAAGATGATAGAGATAGATAATGATATAGAGATATAGACAGAAATTAGATAAATAGAGTGAAATAGATATAGATGAATTAGATAAATTAGATAGATGAGATAATGATATAGAGATACAGATGAATTAGATAATAGAGCGATAAAGCGATAGATTGATAATGATTATATAGATGATAGATATAAATTATAGAGTGATATAGATATAAAGATATATATAGATATAGATATAAAGATATAGATAAATTAGATATATAGATGAGACAGATAATGATATAGATATAGATAACTTAGACAGATAATGATATAGAGATATAGATATAAATTATAAATAGAGCAATATATATATATAATCAGATACAGAGACATAGATAAATTAGATATATAGATGAGATAATGATAGATATAGAGATATAAATTAGATAGATAGATAGATAGATAGATAGATAGATAGATAGATAGATAGATAGATAGATATAATGATTAGAGAGACAGAGATAGAGAGATATATATTTCGGACATGTGTTCTGGGGCCCTGAGCTGCCAGCAAGCAATTCGCAGTCCGCTTCTGTCTGCGTCGCAGCGCCTTTAAAAAGAAGAGGGACTACCTCTGCGATTGAAGAATTCCCGAGAATACTTTCCAGAGAGAGCAAAGTGCCTTGGAATATTGCCTAGGAGCTCTATGATGTGAGCTATGTGGTCTATGGAGGAGAGAAACAAAGGACATAAGGAACGGGAAGGGCAGGGAAGGGCAAGGAGGGGATAAAAAAGAAGAGGGGGAGGAAAAATGGAATTAGTTTCTTAAAAAGAAAGAAGGGAAGAAAGAAAGAAAGAAAGGAAGGAAGGAAGGAAGGAAGGAAGGAAGGAAGGAAGGAAGGAAGGTAGAAAGAAAGAAAGAAAGAAAGAAAGAAAGAAAGAAAGAAAGAAAGAAAGAAAGAAAGAAAGAAAGAAAGAAAGAAGTTCTCCACGCGATCCTGCTTTGGCAGGAAACCCCATGCAGAGGGTCCCGAGAGTTCAGGGACCGTCGGCAGCGCTTAAAAAGGAAAGCAAAAAAAGTAAGCCAGGCTCTTGTTAACACCGCTGCCAAGGACGCTCCGAGGAAACAGGTTCACAGATGGAAATAGGACTGCACAGGGCAGGTCCTCGACTTACGACAGAGCGTTGGCTGTTTCACACATAAGACCATGATCATCATCATCTTTTAATGACCCCATAATCCCTTGCGGGAGGAGTCTGGGCAATTGAATGGAGCTAGCAGAGTGTTTCCTGGCCGGATGCCCTTCCTATCACCAATGAGGATTTTTGTTCAGCAGATACGTCCTCATTGTGCCCAGAGAGAGAAATATCTACCTAGGATTGAACTCACAGCCACTCCTTCCCTTAAGACTGTGATCCTCTGATCAAAATTTGGGCGTTTGGCAACTGACTTGTATTTATGACATTTGCAGTGTCCCTGAATAACCACGTGATCACTTAACAACCACATGATGCGCTTAACAACTGTGGCAGAAAAGGTCATAAAAGGGGGAAAAACTCACTTAACGACTGTGGACTGCAGTGGGAATTTGGGGCTCCGTTATGGTCGTAAGTTGAGGACTTACCCGTAAATCATTTAGTAATGATGGTATTTACCCAAAAGGAAGATAATAAACCTGAATTTAAGACTAATACCATAATAATACTAATACACACACAAACACACACACACTCCTGCCAGAAGCCATGCTCCAAAAAAATACAGGGCAGGATGAAAAAAAAAGAAAAGAATGTATATTAATTGACATATTAACGCATATTAACATAAACATTTTGCCTAACATTTTTTTTTTGCAAAACGATTTGCTAAATATTCTACTTTTTTTTTCCCAGCTTGAAACTGCTGTTTTCCAGCTGCCGAGCAATTCTCACAGAATTGTTCCAACCTTACTAAATGATATTTAGTAGTCTGCTTGCTAGTTAGCAGGGCAGTTCATAAATTTAATAATAAAGCAATTATTCAGGGTTTTTTTTCTGCCGTATCTTCTATTTTTCCCCTTTCAGCAAATTCAAGATGGCAAACGTTGTCATCCCCACCACCCAAATTTGCAGATAATCCTTAAGAGATATAAAAAAAAAAATCTGCCTAATGGGGTAAATACGGTCTAATGTCCTCAAAATTGGGAAATTGGCATTCGGGGTCAAGTTTAGTGTCTCGAGATCGCGCCACACAGGCTGTGTATCCAAGCTGCACAATTTCAATCTTTACACACACACACACACACACACACACAGATGCAGATCTTACAGGACGGGACAGAAATCTTCTCTCAGGATTTTGGGAGGAAAAATATTTCTGCAGAAGGGAGCGACTTACAGTTAGCAGTGGGATTTTAAAAAAGGAGGGGGAAATGCAGACTTTTTCCTCCCCTTGGAAATGAAATTGTTTTCAGGGACTGTCTCTTCATATGTATTTCCTAGGAATATTCACAAAGGTTCAAAGGACACCTAGATATTTAAATAAAAAATAAAAAAATACATACCCTCATCTCTGGAATAATCTTCACCAGAATGTGGCTCGAAGAGATAGTCTCCAGTTGCCAATTCAAAGGCCTAGGATTTAAAAAAAAAAGAAAAAAGAGAAGGATATTTTAGCAGTGGACGAGTTTTCTCTCTTATTCAAGGAATACAGATAGTCCTCGACTTACAACGGTTCATTTAGTGACCGTTCAAAATCCCAATGCAGCTGGAAAAAAAATCTATGATTCTTTCATCATGCTGGATTAAACTTATGATCTTTTATTTTACACTTATAACCCGTGATGACCCGGGGTGTGGCACAAAGGCAACACAGTTAAATAAGCAAGAAGAGTCTCTTTAACTACCTCCAACTTTGCCCCCAATGTCCAGGTTAGCTTCAGCTGGAGAAAAACTCTCCCAGGAAATTCAGTCCGAAAACAAAGTACATACAAACTGTAACTAAAAATCCACACAAACCACACTGCAGTAATTAACTTGACAGGGCAGGAGAAGGAATTGCAGACTTGAAAGCACAGCCAAACATACACAGTTGGGAAGATGTCAGGAACACAGATAAGCCTGGACAATACCAGATAATTTGCTCCCTACAGCTTGCTGCGCGCAAGTTCTCTTTTTAAACACTGTGTTCCCAACTGCAGCTAATGAAGGGAATCAAGGCCCTTTCCTCCCCTGTAAGCCATGCAACTCATGTTGCTCCCTTCTCCATTCCTCCCTGCATGCCTAGGATGAAGAGGGGGTGGGCCTGGATCTTCCTCTGAATTCCCTCTGCCTTGCTCTACCTCTCCCCTGCTCTGCCCAGCTGGACTTTGCCCTTCCCCAGTTTCTTCCACAGCCAAGGGAGCCACACTCCCACTCCCTGTCAGCTGTTCAGCCTTCCACTCCGAATCAGATTCCAACAGGGGCGTGACATAACCATTCTACCATCCTCATGGCCAGGTGGTCAAAAGTCAGGTGAGTGGCAACTAACTCCTATTTATGACGGTTTCAGAGTCTCTTGGGGTCACGAGATCCCCTTTTGCGACCTTCCGACAAGCGAAGTCAGTGGGGAAAGTCGGATTCGCTTAACAATGGTGGGACTAATTGAATAGCTGCAGTTGGTTCGCTTAACAACTCTTGGCAAGAAAAGTGGCAGAGAGAGGCAAAACTCACTTAACACAAAGGTCTCACGTAGTGACAGGAATGTTGGGCTCGACTGTGGTCGTATATCCAGGACTATCTGTCAATGAAAAACCCTTGTTTATGTAGCTTTTAAGATGCAAATCAAAATTATTTCTATAAAGAGCAATTTCTGGGTTCTTAGATGGAAAGCAGGGTTCGGTTTCTGGATGTGGGGTTTAAAAGAAGCTTCACAGAAAATCTAAACCGTACAAGAACATGGGCTTGTGCCCAGCGTGAGTTTCAACGGCCACTATGCCATAAGCCAACCCTATTTGTGGGCAAGTGGCGTCAGTGTCTCAACTTACGACCATCATGACTTAACAACAGAAATTCCAGGTTCCACTTCAGTTATAAGTCAAGGATTGCATGTACACTTAAAATAAAACCAGAAGACAAAACTAAAACCTGATTTGGGAGTGCCCACATTGCAGCCCTGGCCAAAAGGGCCAAGCAGAGATTATGCTACCTGAGACTTCTCGGGAAACAACAACTAAATGGAAAACTGCTGGTGACCTTCTACTGCTGCACCAGAGAGAGTATCTTAACATACTGCACTTGTGTATGGTTAGTCCCACAGTTGTTCAGTGAAACTGGTTCCCCCCCATGGATTTTGCTCGTCAGAAAGTCACAAAGGAGGATGACATGAACCGTCATAAATATGAACCAGCTGCCAAGCATCTGAATGTTGATCACATGACCGTGGGAAATGCTACCATGGTCGTAAGTGTGAAAAACTTATTCCTTTTTCCCCAGTTCCTTAAGACCTGTGGACTTTGACTCCCAGAATTCCTCAGCCAGCAAAGCCTTAAGACTTGTGGGCTTGCACTCCCAGAATTCCTCAACCAGCAAAGCTTTAAGACTTGTGGACTTCAACTCCCAGAATTCCTCAGCCAGCAAAGCTTTAAGACCTGTGGACTTCGACTCCCAGAATTCCTCAGCCAGCAAACCCTTAAGACCTGTGGACTTCGACTCCCAGAATTCCTCAGCCAGCAAAGCCTTAAGACTTGTGGACTTCGACTCCCAGAATTCCTCAGCCACGTGCCGTGGCTTTAAGAGAGAATAAAAGTAGATGTTCTAGAAGGTGCCGTCTCCTAGGGACGGCAAATCAACAGGGCAACCGAACATACCAAGGACAGTCCCAGGATGCAAAGGAAAAAAAATGGTATTTGAGTATATTTGAGTATTGTAGTATTTGAGGGCCTACAAAAAAGACAAGGAGGGTCAGCCTGTTCTCCAAAGCACCAGAAGGCAGGACAAGAAGCAATGGATGAAACTAATCACTTAGTAACATAAATTTTGGGCTCAGTTGTGATCATAACTCAAGGACTACCTGTAACTAACTTCTTCTGGCATTACTACAGAGACTACATTCCTGCCTGCAGTTAAGCATCAAAATGCTGTTCACCCAAAAATAGCTATGCAACATATTTTTCTTCGAAGATCATATTTCCATAATTCATGAAAAGCTGCTTATGAAGGAGGGGAAAATTTCAACCACCGTTGGTGAAAAAAAAGAAGGGATCTCGCTAGGTTAGCATGCTTTTTTTTAATAAGACTGTGTCGGGAATTTTATAGCAGTGGCCTTTTTTGGAGTTATTTCTGCATAGAAATAATCAGTGCTCTGTGTCTGTCATTTCTATCCTTTTAATCTTCAACACTGACTTCAATGAGAAGTTTAGGAGTTTTTCTTTAGTTTTATGTTTGCTGATTTATACCGATGATCATAAAAGAATGAAAGCTGGTAGCATTTTAGACAAGGTCAATTAAATGCCAAAATAAAGTTAGTAGCTGTATTTATAGTGGGAAATTTGAAATGATTTCCAGTATTTGAAGGGCTCCCACAAAGAGGGGGGGTGGGTGTCAAAATATTTTCCAAAGCCCCAGAAGGCAGGACAAGAAACAATGGATGGAAACTAATCAAGGAGAGAAGCAACATGGAATTAAGGAGAAACTTCCTAACAGGGAGGTCAATTAACCAGTGGAACAGCTTGGCCTTCAGAAGTTGTGGGTGCTTCATCACTGGAGGTTTTAAAGAAGAGATTGGACAGTCATTTATTTGAAATTGTACAGATTCTCCTGCTTGAGCAGGGGGCTGGACTAGAAGACCTCAAAGGTTCCTTCCAGCTCTATTCTGATTGACTGATTGACTGCCTCAACATCCGATGAAGTCTACACTCATTGGGGGCAGACGAGTTACAGCTCCCCGGGCAACCTGTGGTCTTCTCCACCTGTGGGCTACCAGGAAGAAGGACAGTAGGTTCCACAGCCCTTCAGGGTAAGTTTGGGAAGTGGGATTCGTTCTGCTGCCAACTGAGTTATGCGCCTGATATCTTGATTAGGGATCCCTGAAATGTCCTCCTGAGACAAATGTCTGTGGTTCTGTTGAGTAGGAGGAATGTGTGAAGTGGAAGCTTCGGAGGAGACTTGCTCATGGCAGCCAGCAGGAGGTGACAAATGTTCTTTGGGGGGGGGGGGGGGGGGTGTAGGATTCTACCGGTTTGGACCGGTTCAAGCGAACTGGTAGTTCCGGTGAGCAATTGGCCCCGCCCACCACCCTCTGCTCTTCCCTGTGCTTTATTCCGTTTTTTTTAGAGCAGGGGTCTCCAACCTGAGGGGATCTCCCAACTCGTGAGTTTGATCCTAGGCAGAGGCAGGTATTTCTCTCTTTGGGCACATTGAGAATATATCTGCTGAATAGAACTCTGCACTGGTGATAGGAAGGGCATCCGGCCATTAAAACACTCAGCTCCATTCAGTTGCCCCCACTCCACTACGACCCAAGGGATTATGGGGTTATTCAAAGAAGATGATCTCTGATTCAGAAGCAGGAAAACAAGAACACAATATGGTTCTTACCATACATGCTGTACTCCAGATATCAGCCGGTGTACTGTAACCTGCCCCTATTAAAACTTCAATCGATCTGTACTGTCGGGTCTGGATATCTTCTGTAAAATGTTTATGCTAAAAAAAAAAAAAAAAAACCAGAAACGACAGGCATTAATTTACAAAACGCTCCAACTCAGCTAGGAGACTTAAAGAGCGAAGTTGTTAGACGTGTTTAATTAATTACAACTTACCACCCAACAAGCATTTCCCAGATCGGCAATTTTAACTCTAATTTTATCGGCGTTTCTTGGATCTAACGGATTCACCAGCAAATCAGCAGCCCGAGTTTTTGCTATTAAGAAAGAAAGGAATACATTTACAAAGTTAATATTCGGAGCGCGTTAACCCAACATTCATCATTTTTTTAAAAGAAATCCCCACTTGCAGAGAGCAAAAAATAGCTGATGTCTTCGCCATCTTTCGAAAAGAGAATTCAAAATATGTAGGAAGAAAATGTTTTAAAGGATACACCAATGATTAACCAAACGTGTTACAAATTACAATCATCATCATTTTAACCATTGTCTATCCCAGTAATGGCGAACTTTTTTTGGTGTGGTGTGCCGAAAGTGCGCGTTCCGGCACTCACAATGCAATGCGTCCTGCCCTCCCTGCACATACACACGCAACACCCTCCCTTACCTGCACTGTGCATGTGCACACCTCCCAGCTGATTTTTGGCCCGTTTTGAGGCCTTTTTCGGCCTACCAGAGGCTCGAGGGAAGCCTCTGCAGCCTTTGAAGGCCGAAAACTGGGCCTGTTTCATCACTTCCGGTTTCGCCACTTCTGGTATATCCGGAAGGCCCATTTTTCGGCCACCCTGAGGCTGCAGAGGCCTCCCTCGAGTCTCTGGGAGACTGAAAAAGGCCTCAAACAGGCGGAAAAATCAGCTGGGAGGCGCGCGCATGCACAGTGCAGGTAAGTTTGGCTGAGGCTCGCATGCCTGCACAAATGGCTCTGTGTGCCACCTGTGGCACGTGTGCCATAGGTTCACCGTCACAGGTCTATCACTTTGGGATAGGCCTCTTCCTCATGTTTCCAACCAATATGATCCTAAGCTTTCTTTGGCCAACTGGTCCCACAATTCTTGCTTAATATATTACAATATGATATACAATTTTGAAAGAGGCTAACAACTTAAATAATTGCCAGAGGAAAAGCCTCTTAATATATTTTCTTTTATCAAGGATTTTTTGTTTAAAACCTCTTTTACACATTTCTTTCTTTCTCTCTCTCTCCAGAATAAACCACACAGAGCAAAGCAAAATAAAATTTTATTAAGTTGAAATAACAATATAGGCATAACATTCAGAAGGTTTGCAACTGAGGATCGTGCGATTCGCCGGGGACATGGCAACTGTTAATAAATACACGTCATTCGTCAAGGGTTCGAACTTCGATCGGGTGAACAGCGGGGAGGATGTTGCAAATGTCGTAAGTGTGAAAACAGTCATGGCACTTTTGCCAATGCTGCTGTTAACTTCAAACAGTCACTAAACGAATGGATGTAAGTGGAGAACTACCTGTACTGTTTCTGCTAGCCTCATTACAGCAATAGCACTTAAGACTTATGTACCACTTCACGGTGCTTTATAGCCCTCTCTCAGCGGTTTACAGTCCTCATTTTATCCACCTCGGAAGGATGGAAGGCTGAGTCAACCTTGAGCCTGGTGGGATTTGAACTGCCAAATTGCAGGCAACTGGCTGCATCAGAAGTGGCCTGCAGTACTGCACTCTAACCACTGCGCCATCGTGGGGCCCATCGGCTGTCCTTTCTATGTCAAATTGTGGGGGACACATCACAACCCAGCTTCATAGTTTTGATCAGACAATATCTGTACATAAAGAGAGGTGTCCACCTGCCTATTTTCGTCTCTCAAAATCAAATTAAATTAGCAGGTTAACAGAGTGGGAAGGGAACTTGTAGGTCATCTAATCCAACCACTCCGCCCAAGCAGGAGATCCTACACCATTTCTGACAGATGGCAGTCCAGTCTCTTCTTAAAAGCCTCCAGTGAGGAAGTTCCCACAACTTCTGAAGGCAACTTCTGTTCTATGGATTGATTGTTCTCACTGTCAGAACATTTCTTCTTATTTCCAGGTTGAATCTCTCCTTCTTCAGTTTCCATCCATTATTCCTTGTCTGGCCTACAGGCACTTTAGAAAATAGCTTGGCCCCTTCCTCCTCTCTGTGGCAGCCCCTCAAATACTGCAAGACTGCTCTCCTGTCTCCCCTGGTCCTTCTCTTCACTAGACTAGCCAAGCCCAGTTCCTGCAACCGTTCTTCATTGTTTTAGCATCCACTCCCCTAATCATCCTGGTTGATCTTCTCTGCACTCTTTCTAGAATCTCAACCTCTTTTTTATAGTGTGGTGACCAAAACTGGATGCAGTTGCTCTAGGTGTGGCCTTACTAAAGCTTTATAGAGTGGTATTAGTACCTTACTTGATCTACCTTACTTGATCTTGATTGTATCCCTCTGTTAATGCAACTTAGAATTGCATTTGGCTTTTAGAAAGGTGCCTCTTTAAATCAAGCACCACTTAGAACTTTCCATATCCGAGATTCTGATATAAGATAATTACAGGCAGTCCTTGACTTACAACAGTTTGTTTAGTGACTGTTCAAAGTTACAAAAAAAAGTGACTTAGGACCATTTTTCGCAGTTGAGACCTCCACAGAATTCCCACGATCACGTGATCATGTTTCCTTTTTTTATTGGTTTATCAAAACATAAAATACAAAGAAAAATTCAAAAAAAAAGTAATAGAAAACTAGGAACAGGGGGAAGGGAAAAGAAAAAAATATATGGTATAAAGTGGGGAAACGAAAGAAAAAGACACTGACTTCCAACTCTCTTTAGCAGAGGAGGAGATAACAGCATTACAACCACAACTTTTTACTTTTACACAACTGTATATATAAGCCATTTCTATAACAATAAGCTTACCTAATTAGCAAACACAAAATCAAACTTTCGTTTTTTTCCCCATTGCAAACACAAAAATCCAGAAGCAATTTCGAACTAGAAACAAGGTTCGATATATTCTCTTCTTTGGATAAAAGAATCAATTTGACCATCTCTTCTTCTCTTTGCTGTGGGGCGTAATTATATGCTTCTGTTAACTCATTAATCTTTGTCATAATTCATATTAAGAGAAACCTCTGTATTCTTTCTTCTTTTTTTTTTAAACCCCAAAGGGCGAAAACTTTTTTCTCGTTTGGATATTTCACTAACTTTAAAAAAATACTCAAATATGATATATGATCAAAGTTCAAATGCTTGTTTGCAACGGTTTCATGACAGTTGCTGTTTCCCAGGGCTCATGGGATCCCTTTTTGCAACCTTCGGAAGAGCGAAGTCAATGGGGGAAGCCAGATTCGCTTAACAACCATGTTGGCCTATCAGCTGCAGTGATTCACTTAACAACGGTGGGAAGGAAGGTCTTAAAATGGGGCAAAACTCACTCAATGAATTTTGTTGAATACAGGTAGCTCAGGGCTACCTGTATTCCACAAAATTGGTCCCCTTGGGTTAAATAATTTTAGCTTTTTTAGTAATAGCTTTACTATAGTAATAGTAATAATTTTAGCCGGCCTGTTAATTTTCTGGTATTAATGCTACAAGTCTAAGAGGGTTGGATAATCATGGTTTCTATCCCGTGAGGTGAACAATTCCTCCTTCCGATGTTATTTATTCAACAATGGCTGCTAAATCTCTCTCTCTCTCACACACACACACTATGATGACCCAGAGTGTAACACAAACATAACAAAATCCAAAACGTAAATAAATGTCCTTTAATGCCTCCAACTTGGCCCCACTGTTCAATAATTCTCAGTTGGAGATTAAACTTATTCAAAAATAGTCTTCAAAAGAAAGCAATAAAGTCCGAATTTAATGAGCAAATGGTGAAATAAAAAACTAAAACAAACTACAATGAAGGAATTTCCACAATGGACCAGGATAAATAATTACCAACTTCAAGGAGATAACAAGGCACAGTCTGTTAGAAGGACGCCAACCAAGATAACTTCAGCCCAGAAAAAAACACGCTTTGCTTTTGGCAACGCTGTGTTTTAGCCGTCTCTCTTATATACTATTCTCCCCAGCTGCAACCAATGAGGGGTATCATGGCCGCTTCCTCTCTCGTAAGCCAAGTTGTTTCCTTCTCCATTCCTCCTTGCATGTCCTAGGATGCAGAGGGGATGAGCCTGGTTCATCCTCTGACTGCCCAGCCGGCCTCTGCCCTTCCCCAGCCTCTTTCACAACCTCCAGAGCCATACCTCCACTCCCTGTCGGCTGTTTCTCCTCTCCCTCAGAGTCTGACTCTAATAAGGGCATGACACACACACACACTCCTTCACTTTCACACTTACAATCATGATTCACAAAGCTTCATCTAGTTAAGACTCCCACGCATGGCTTCTAAGTGAAGCTTGTGAGGCAAAAATTCTCACAACCCGCGCTGAAAAGTTCACAAACATCTCACAAAATTCACCACAGCAGAACCGTCAAGCAAAATTAATATCTCACAGTCAGCCCCTAAACATGAGTATTATTATTTTTTCTTTCAATGAGCTGGGGAGTTTTCCATGTGCAGCTGGTCCTCAGCTTACAATCTCAATGGAGCCCAAAATTTGTGTTGCTAATGTTGTGGTCTGCCGGCAGCCTGTGGAGACGGCAGCAGAGTCAGACAGCGGGGAGGAACATGGGCCAGTCCGGGAGTCTGGGGAGGACTCGGACGAGGGTCTTGTGTCCGATACAGAGATCAGGCCAGGGCCAGCTGACTCGGGAGCCTCCGGATTCTGGCAGCAGTGAGGCAGAGGCACAGGGAGAGCCTGTTCCCAGTGCGCACACATGCGCAAAGCTGCTAGAACCCAAGAACAGTTAAGACAAAGGGGGTGACTTGGGAGTAAGGCTTGGAGGTTATTGGCCCTCCCATAAGACATAAAGGAGGAGCAAAGGGACATGAGCCTTTGCAGAAAGCAACTTTGTTCATACTGGTTGGTTTGAAACCTGAAGCTACGTGTTGAATTTGTGCTCTGCTTGGCCTCGTATAACTAATTGGAAATTTAATCGTTGGTAGCATTTCAAGGAAGATAAAGATGGGTACTTATCAGGCTTATCCTGAAGGGCTTTGGCAAACTTCCATGGGACTATTTACAAATTGTCTGAGAATCATTACAGGCTGTGCATGACTAAAATTCACAGCTGTTGAAATAAAGAAAAAAAGGATTTGGGGGCTAACGTGTGTTTGTTAAGTGTCTCAATAAGCCTTGGTCAGAACA